CTAAACGTCAATGACTTCTGGTACAATATTTACATTTTGTTGTTGCGGTCTGTTTGCTGCGTCATGTATGGATTCGAGTAGTCTTGTTGAGGGATAGCGAATGTTAACTTGATGGCGTGCGTATCCCATAAACCATAGGACACTGGCAATATGCGCACAGGTACCAAGAGTTCGAGCGCCGGACTTACACGTACAGTAGTAACCTTGTATGGGAGTACGTTCGTGATTATCCATCCCATCGTCCACCTCATCATCATTAGTCGGTTGGTATGAAATCCATAGCTGATATTTCATTGCATTGCGGAATCGTGAAAAAACTCTAATTCTCATCAATCCTGGCTGTGGTAATCTGTTTACATCTCTTAACATTTCAAGTTGGAACTCTTCTTCTTCGTCTCTTTGTAATTTATCTTGCACATAAGATGGTGCTAACTTGATTTGATATACACCAACTGTGAGATTTTTTAGAAACTCCACCGTCAAGACTGGAAAATCAAACAATTGTTCAGCATCCAAACGAACCCATCTTTGAGCATTCCTGGTTTTGAGATTTTCCACCTCAACCATTGCTTGGACGACGTTTGGTTCCCTCACCTTGTCAAGTAATTGTTGGGCCATTTCAACATTGGCTCCTTCCATGAGAATGGGCGGGTGATACCTGTTGATAATAGCTCCAGCTATCCGGTAAAAATCTCCTAGATTTGGAAGATGCTGGATTTGTATAATTTTCTCAAAGAATTTGAAAATGGATTTAATGTGCCCATTTCTAGCTTCTACTATCCACCTTGTCTTTGTAACCAGTCGCGAATCATTAGCATCCTCTGTGGAGAGTTGACGCTCATCTGGTTGAATAATCGCCGGCATTTTCCACAGAATACCTAAGCGGGCTAGCAGCTCAGTGGCATCCCGGTATCCCCTATCCACTATAACAATATCATTTTCCTGAAACCACGTTGTCATTCTATCAGCATCTCTTACAAATTCATTCTGCAGAATACGAGCGTCATTATTGCAGCTATCAGAGAAGTACGGCCCTTGAATGTCGAGTATATAGCCATCAGGTGCAACTATCAGAACAGGTTTCACTAAGTGTCGCCCCTTGTGAACGGAGTATGACTGCCGAAGAGATCGAAAGTTACTACTTTTTGGAATATACGCGTAAGTACCGTCGATGGATGCAATTACTCGGGGAATTTGAGGTTGTGGATTATACAATTCGTTGGAGAACTCCGTCACATGTCTTTCGATATCATTTTCTCTTGTAATTGCGTCAAATCCAATATTGTTAGGAACAAACTGTTGCATTAATGATTGTCTGACGGTGGCAATGGCCAGACTTACTGCTTGTCTACTTGAATATTGGAACATAGCATTGAGAAAATCATCAGAGAGTCCCTGACGCATTTTACACAAGAACATCAGCAGGTCCTTTTTGCTGATATATCTGTAGCCACCTTCGCAGGGTACTCTTTCACAATAAGTAAATAGTTCTCGAAACTGTTCTTTTGTCACAGGACAGAAAGATTCAAATTCATTATCAGACAAACTATTCTCATCGTCAATTCTCGTCTTTCTTGCCACATTACGAAGTCCTTGCAAGAATGTTTGGAGTTGTGGTCCTCTAATTACGTATGGCCTGTTAACAAAACGCAAACCAAGTAACAACGGTTGGAAAATAAAACCTCGCTCATCTAAATGATGTCTACATGATCTCACATTTTCAGGAATATAGATATTTTGTAGAATAAAAACATTAGCTTTGCATTCGACTGATAACCTGTGTATATCATTAGCAACATTGCAAATCAGACAAGTACTATTTGTAGTTTGCGTCAATACATTCAGTCTTAAGCAAGTAGGATCTTGTTCCATTGCAGCTACTTCGTTACGAATTAATTGATTACAGTTAGTGCATATTCTCGTGAGATGTGTTACATCAAGAGGCGGCCTATGAAATCCATCTCGTCTCAAAATAGCTATTTCACGTTTGTCTGCATTCTCATCTTCATCTATTCGGGTCATTAGCCGAGGGGCAAATTGTCTGTCACAAATGTAACAACGTAAAAGATTTCTGAATGCCATATTATTTTTTTGTACTAATGACACATTTGTGAATACGATTGCCCTTAGTGAAAACGCGATCAGTTATAAGATGGTGACTGCTAAGCAGTTGCAAAAACTGGAAGGTTTGAAGAATAAGGTAATACTTAGGCGAAATGTACAATAGAGAATTATTAACTTCGGATGAAGTAAGTGCTTTAATACTACAAACATTAATTAACTATTTTCAATCACATTAGTTTTGGACTGGTTTGAAAAAGCTTCGATTGATCGAATATAATAGCTTAGACAAGCATGTGTGTGTGTGTGTGTGATAACCGATGTTTTTCTGTTGTAAAGAGTACCACCTGCGCATGCCGCGTTCTGCTATTATATTCGATCAATCGAAGCTTTTTCAAACCAGTCCAAAACTAATGTGATTGAAAATAGTTAATTAATGTTTGTAGTATTAAAGCACTTACTTCATCCAAAGTTAATAATTCTCTATTGTACATTTCGCCTAAGTATTACCTTATTCTTCAAACCTTCCAGTTTTTGCAACTGCTTAGCAGTCACCATCTTATAACTGATCGCGTTTTCACTAAGGGCAATCGTATTCACGAATGTGTCATTAGTACAAAAAAATAATATGGCATTCAGAAATCTTTTACGTTGTTACATTTGTGACAGACAATTTGCCCCTCGGCTAATGACCCGAATAGATGAAGATGAGAATGCAGACAAACGTGAAATAGCTATTTTGAGACGAGATGGATTTCATAGGCCGCCTCTTGATGTAACACATCTCACGAGAATATGCACTAACTGTAATCAATCAATTCGTAACGAAGTAGCTGCAATGGAACAAGATCTTACTTGCTTAAGACTGAATGTATTGACGCAAACTACAAATAGTACTTGTCTGATTTGCAATGTTGCTAATGATATACACAGGTTATCAGTCGAATGCAAAGCTAATGTTTTTATTCTACAAAATATCTATATTCCTGAAAATGTGAGATCATGTAGACATCATTTAGATGAGCGAGGTTTTATTTTCCAACCGTTGTTACTTGGTTTGCGTTTTGTTAACAGGCCATACGTAATTAGAGGACCACAACTCCAAACATTCTTGCAAGGACTTCGTAATGTGGCAAGAAAGACGAGAATTGACAATGAGAATAGTTTGTCTGATAATGAATTTGAATTTTTCTGTCCTGTGACAAAAGAACAGTTTCGAGAACTATTTACTTATTGTGAAAGAGTACCCTGCGAAGGTGGCTACAGATATATCAGCAAAAAGGACCTGCTGATGTTCTTGTGTAAAATGCGTCAGGGACTCTCTGATGATTTTCTCAATGCTATGTTCCAATATTCAAGTAGACAAGCAGTAAGTCTGGCCATTGCCACCGTCAGACAATCATTAATGCAACAGTTTGTTCCTAACAATATTGGATTTGACGCAATTACAAGAGAAAATGATATCGAAAGACATGTGACGGAGTTCTCCAACGAATTGTATAATCCACAACCTCAAATTCCCCGAGTAATTGCATCCATCGACGGTACTTACGCGTATATTCCAAAAAGTAGTAACTTTCGATCTCTTCGGCAGTCATACTCCGTTCACAAGGGGCGACACTTAGTGAAACCTGTTCTGATAGTTGCACCTGATGGCTATATACTCGACATTCAAGGGCCGTACTTCTCTGATAGCTGCAATAATGACGCTCGTATTCTGCAGAATGAATTTGTAAGAGATGCTGATAGAATGACAACGTGGTTTCAGGAAAATGATATTGTTATAGTGGATAGGGGATACCGGGATGCCACTGAGCTGCTAGCCCGCTTAGGTATTCTGTGGAAAATGCCGGCGATTATTCAACCAGATGAGCGTCAACTCTCCACAGAGGATGCTAATGATTCGCGACTGGTTACAAAGACAAGGTGGATAGTAGAAGCTAGAAATGGGCACATTAAATCCATTTTCAAATTCTTTGAGAAAATTATACAAATCCAGCATCTTCCAAATCTAGGAGATTTTTACCGGATAGCTGGAGCTATTATCAACAGGTATCACCCGCCCATTCTCATGGAAGGAGCCAATGTTGAAATGGCCCAACAATTACTTGACAAGGTGAGGGAACCAAACGTCGTCCAAGCAATGGTTGAGGTGGAAAATCTCAAAACCAGGAATGCTCAAAGATGGGTTCGTTTGGATGCTGAACAATTGTTTGATTTTCCAGTCTTGACGGTGGAGTTTCTAAAAAATCTCACAGTTGGTGTATATCAAATCAAGTTAGCACCATCTTATGTGCAAGATAAATTACAAAGAGACGAAGAAGAAGAGTTCCAACTTGAAATGTTAAGAGATGTAAACAGATTACCACAGCCAGGATTGATGAGAATTAGAGTTTTTTCACGATTCCGCAATGCAATGAAATATCAGCTATGGATTTCATACCAACCGACTAATGATGATGAGGTGGACGATGGGATGGATAATCACGAACGTACTCCCATACAAGGTTACTACTGTACGTGTAAGTCCGGCGCTCGAACTCTTGGTACCTGTGCGCATATTGCCAGTGTCCTATGGTTTATGGGATACGCACGCCATCAAGTTAACATTCGCTATCCCTCAACAAGACTACTCGAATCCATACATGACGCAGCAAACAGACCGCAACAACAAAATGTAAATATTGTACCAGAAGTCATTGACGTTTAGATTAGATTGCATTCTATTATCTATTATATGTATAATTTATTGCCACTTTTCATTTCGGTTCCGGGAATGTTTTAAGACTGGACTGGTCTTATGTTAAAGTACAAACACTCAAACCAACAAATACTCTGATACGAAATAAGTAACGTGCTATATCTGACATCTTCTAAAAAAGACCAACTTGCATTAATGTATCATAAACGTATATAACCATGCATAACGGACACTAGAAACGCACGGAACATTTTGGACAAAGAAATCGGCCCTTTTTAGGGCCAAATAATGTGCAAACTCCGATCGCGCAACCTCCTCGCGGTGCACATTGGGTAATTCTAATGCCGACGGTAATTGCTTGGTTAACGTTAATTAATTGCATATGTGCGTTTTATTATGAAGGAATTAAACGGTCTTAGAATTTAATCGATAAAAATGGTGATCAATTAAAACGGAATTTTTATTCACACACACACACACACAAGCGCGCGCACACACACACACACACACGCACACACGCACACACACGCACACGCACACGCACACACACGCACACGCACACACACGCACACGCACACGGTACCAGTACTATTATCCACTGTAAACGTTGAACTATACCGTGAGCCGATGAATGTATTTTCGCGATGTTTGACGCTCTGTATCTCGAAAACTGTCCATTTTTTGACATCGTGCCCATGGACACTTTTGATCAGGACGTCATGAACTACATTATACTACATTTTCAGCCGATTCGACTGAGAACCATTTTCCATAAGGTTTGTGCGGGGTCCTTTACGATAATAAGAACAAAATCCCAGAAAACTTCGTAATTGTTTTTTTGTGTGAGGTATTGGCCAATTTTTAACAACGGAAATCTTATCGGGATCTGTAACAACGCCCTCCGCAGAAACCACATGACCCAAATATTTTACAGTTTTACTAAATAACACACATTTCTTCGAATTTATTTTTAAATTTGCTTCTCTTAATCGTAAAAATACTGTTCTAAGATTGTTTATCATTTCAGTAAAACTTTTCCCAAAAATTATCACATCATCCAACTAAACAAGGCAAATTTTTGATAATAAATTTTGTAAGACCTTTTTCATAAGGCGTTCAAATGTTGCAGGGGCGTTACACACAACTCAAAGGGCATAATTGTAAATTGCCAAAGTCCTTTTCCTATTGAAAAAGCCGTTTTCTCTTTGTCTTCGGGGCGGATCTTAATTTGCCAATACCCACTTTTAAGATCAAGAGTGGAAAACCAAGAATTACCTGTTAGCTGATCAAGAATGTCATCAATTCGGGGAAGGGGATAAGAATCCTTAATAGTCACCTCGTTTAATTTTCTATAATCAACACAGAACCTTATAGAACCGTCCTTCTTTTTAACCATGACAGCAGGAGAAACCCATGAACTATGTGACTCCTCAATTACTCCACGTGAACTCATATCTTCTAAAATCTTATCGACTTCTTCCCTCATTTGAATCGGAATCCTACGAGGAACCTGTTTTATGGGAGGAGAATCTCGCACATTTACAATATGTTCTACAACACTACAATTTCCCGCAATAATGTTCTCAGAAAATAAATCATCAAATTCATTAAGAAAATCGACAAAACTTTCCTTTTCTATTTCAGTTAAATGTTGAGAATTCATTTCATAGAGTTCTTTCAAGGGGATTGGAACTTTTTTAAAAGAATTTTCAATTCTAGCTATTTCTTTTTCAAACGTCGGAATTCCAAAAGCCGATTCAAAGATTTTTTCCAAATTTACCATTTTTAGAAAATCTATTCCCAAAAGACATTCATCATTTATGTCTGCAATAAACATTGGAATTTTTAACGAATATTTCCCTAATTCGACTTTAACTTCTGCCCAAAATTCTACACGAACTTTTTCTCCGGTAGGATATCTTAAATTAACAAAATTCTTAGAAATCTTCCTTTTCTCTTTTTCAACAAATTTGCTATTTATTATGGAAACATCGGAGCCCGTGTCAACCTTGAAAGAACATACTTTATCATCTATTTTTCCTTTAAAAATGAAATAATCATTATCCTTAATTTTATTTACATTTAATATAACTTCCGAGGAATTTTTCACGGAAGCCAAACTCTCCCCGGTAAGCTCGGCTAAACCAAGTTTCCCTTCTCAATAGGACATTCGTATCGAAAATGTCCGATTTTCCCACACGTCCAACATTCTCTTTGGCCGGCGCTAAATTTGCTGCCTGGCCAATTTCCTTTTCCGTTC